AACACAGACCGAGACACTTTCAAACTATTTGTATTCAAATGCTATGAAAATATTCGGAAAGGATGTCCCTGTTTCGGATATACAAATTCGGACACATAAAAAGTCGAAATGGTTTGATGAATCATGCTTCTTGGCTAAAAAAGAATTTAAAATAGCTAGGAATTTATTTCTGAGAAATAAAACTGATGAAAATAGAATAAAATTCACCAAAAGTAGAACTAAATACAATCTAATAAAGAAAAAAGCAAAAACAAATTTTAAAATTAATGAAGCGAAACGTTTAGAAGAAATTGCAAAAACACAACCGCGTACATTCTGGAAGTCAATAAAAAAATGCTATAAAAGTAAAAACATCTGTGAAGAAAAAATAGAAATAGATGAACTTTACGATCACTTTAATAATCTTTTTGGGGAAATACCTGAAACTAATGATCAAGAATCAGAATTTAGACAAGAAACCAATATTTATGAAAATTTAGATAAAGATATTACCGAGAATGAAATTCGGAACGCAGTATATGGACAAAAAAGTTTTAAGGCATGTGGTCCCGATTGTATATCCGCAGAAATTATTAAGTCGTCGTATGATATCATTTCTCCATACTTACTTAATATATTTAATAGATTATTCTTAAATTCTGATTACCCTGAAGCTTGGGGAGATGGATATATTATACCAATATTTAAAGGCGGAGACAAAACTGACGCAAAAAACTATCGTGGTGTAACTTTAAATAATATAATAGCCAAAATATATTCTCAGGTACTTTTAAATAGGTTAACTAAATGGACTATACAGTATGAGAAAATTGCTAACAATCAATTCGGATTTCAAAAAGGGAAAAGTACAGTCGATTGTGTTTTCATTTTACATTCTGTATTTAAAAATTATTAAATTCTGGTAAAAAGTATATAGTGTATTCATTGATGATGAATAATGTTTTGATAAGATAAATAGATCATTTCTCTGGCAAAAGTTATTAAGTGAAAACGTTAGCTCTAGAATGGTAAACGCAATAAAATCTATGTATAGAACTGTTCGATTACGTATTAGGTTTAATAATAGACTCTCTGAGCCAATTCTCTCACACTTGGGCGTGAAACAGGGAGACCCGAGTTCTTCTTTGATGTTTATGATGTTCGTAAATGATATTGTTGACAATATAAATACTAATCTAGATGGATTATTCACATATGAAGATTTAATTTTATTTTTAATTTTATACGCAGATGATCAGGTGTTATTTGCAACATCACCAGAATCCTTACAATCAATGATAAATGATATTGAAATATATTGTAATACATGGGGTCTAAAAATAAATACTTCAAAGACTAAGGTTATGATTTTTGAAAAAGGCAGTAGACATACAAATTATGATTTTTACCTTTATAATACTCTACTAGAAAATGTTACTTCTTTTAAATATTTAGGCGTATATTTTTTCAAAATGCAAATTGGAATAGAACCCAAAAATGTATTGCAGAACATGCATCTAAATCTTTACATAAACTATTTTCAATTTTTGATAAGTACGATTTTTCTACTAGTGAAAAAAGTAAATTGTTTGATTCGCTAGTTGCTACTGTACTAAACTACTGTTCAGAAGTCTGGGGAATGAATGCAGGAACAGATATAGAACTTATTCATACAAAATTCTGTCGAAAACTTTTATATGTTAATAAATCAACTAATACTACTGGTCTCTATGGAGAATTAGGGAGAGTTCCTATGATTATTTTTAGAAAAATAAATATGATAAGATATTGGATCCATTTACTGAAATCAGACAACTCTTTGCAAAAACAAATTTATATCATGCTTAAGAATGATGCCAATAATAATATAACATACAATAATTTCAAATTGGGCCTTTCATATAAAAACAATGTTAAACAATCTAGGACTTTCAAATATATGGATAAATCAAGATAATGGAAATTTTACATTTTTAGAAATTAAACAAAGGATATTAGATAATTATTATCAAGCTTGGTATGCAAACATAAACAATTCACAACGTTTACTTACTTACTGTAGGTTTAAACAATCTTTTAACTTTGAAACATATTTAAATTCAATAAGTGAAAGGAAATTTCGGATTGCCTTAAGTAGATTTAGATTATCATCGCATAATTTAGAAATAGAAAGAGGTAGATATCTTAATATAGAACGAACTAATAGAATATGTAAATTTTGCAACCAAGATAATATAATTGAAGATGAGTATCATTTTCTTCTTGTCTGCCCAATATATCGAGAAATAAGGAAAAAATACTTCAAACCATATTTTTGTAGGTGGCCAACTCTTAATAAATTTGATAGACTGATGTCCACAGATAATGAAAGCCAATTGTTAAACTTATTATATATATTTTTTTCAAATAAATTAAGGAATAGTTTAGAAATTTGATAATTATTATATTGGTATCGATTTAAATTTACCTATGTCAAACTAGTTTATTTATAGTGTAAGCTTCTCTATGCAGAAAATATTTGATTGCTAATGATTTCTCGTGTCATTTGTCACCTTATGTCAAATGTATATTATGGCTAAAAGCATTGTAATGCTTAATTGCTAAATAAATGTTGTTGTTGTTGTTGTTGTTGTTGTTGTTGTTTTCTCCAATTCGTTCAATTATCATAACGGTTAATTAAACTTCTTCTATAAATAGATTTTCGGACTTTTTTAAATGTTAAGGTCATATCTATTTATAGATTTGTTCCCGCTCTAATTCAATAATATGACATGAGGGAAGACCAATATATGACTTTACATAATAGAAATGGAAAGGAAATCATGCTTCCCAATTTATCTTTAGTTGTAAATTGATCGGATTAATTGATAAAAATCGGGTCCATGGACAAAAAATAGTAAACACAAATAGCTCCGCGCCCACAGGCAATCATGATCACCAAGTTATCGATGAGTGGTCCAAACAATGGCTTTAAGTATAAATTTGGAAGTTATGTTCTTGGAAATATGACTACATCAGCCTCTTAAGTTTTGAATAAGACGTGTGCATTTGAATTTAAACTTAAACACTCAGCTCTAAATAAAATGTACATTTCATACATGCGTTCTATATAAGAATATGCCTCCGTTGTGTGGGACGGATGTACAGTTTACGAAAACTAAAATCACTTGAACTACAATATGAGGCAGCATGCATAGTAGCAGGCCTGACCAGGTCTGTATCGGTCAATTCGCAATATTGTCATCGCTTGTTTCAGAAACAATCAATTATTCGGTAACAATTACAAAACTATAGCTAGGCATACCGAAACTTTTAACAAATTATTTTATATCTTTTGCTACTGAATTATGGAATACATTAAGTACCGAAATTCGCGAAATTGATTTAATATTTTTAGATAAAAAAGGTAAGAAAAGTTAAAGCCTCCGTATTACCTAAACACTTTATGTTTGGTATAAGGTATTTGTCAGTTTAACGTGCTCGTTTTTAAGAAATATTGAAGTGGTCAACTTACCAGCTGACCTGCTTAAAAATCATTTACCAGACTGGTATATGTGGGCACCTTTGTGAGTATGCCGAACATTATCTATTTACTGTCCATTATTTAAACCTCAGAGACTCATACTCTTCGCAGAAACCAGATTTTTTATCATATTACTGTAGGGTAGCAGTTCGTTAATTTATATGTTAACAATAATGAACAAATATTTGCGGCTGTCAAAATTTATCAAAACTACTGACCGTGATCGAAACACTTGATATTTGTGTTAATCAGTCAGCTGTATGACCTTAATAACCTGATACCATAAGAAGTTACCAAACTATTTATAATGGTTGCCTGCTCCCTTTGACGACAAATGCTGCATGCTGGATCCCTAACCTTATCATAATGATAGAAATACACAAATATACGTTTTGGTATTCTGTCTTATTAACTTCTTTTATTGGTTTAATCCATTTGATGTTAATCTGTCTTTATTTTTTTTCTTTTGGACGCATAATATGTACACATGTTACAATTTCTCATATAAAGGCCATAAAGGTTGATTAATAGAATTCTTTTCGGGAGAGGGCGGCTCTATGAATGATGTATGAACTTGGGCTCAACCCTTTGCTATTTGTAAAATCGAAATCAATTTGTTTCTACATGTATATAATAGCAATAAAATATGTTTGGTCCGTTCACCGTTTATGTTTTATATATTGGCAATGCCATACATTTTTTAAGCTTAATATATGTTAATGCACATAATTATATCAATAGATACCAACATTTCATCGGCCCATTGCTATAAGCCTTTTGTTACCTATAAAATATTTCCTTTAGTAGTTTCAGGTTCCTTTTCATTTCTTTTCTTTTCTATTTTTCATTTCAATAATGAATCAAAATATAAAAAAACATAAACATTGGTCGTTATTATAACTATCTTGCACGAGAGGTATTCATACAAGTTTTCAATATCTCTTCCTTATGTATATCATAATGGTTTGCCAGTGAAGAAAGAATTTAGGAAAACTATTTACTTTTTTAAGGAATAATATCAGTGGTGTTTATCGACTATTTAACACAAGTATTGGGGAAATGTTAAAGATGGCGGTTAGACTGACTGGTTTATTCTTTTGCATCAAAACGACAAAACAGGTGTTAACAGATAGCCGAAACACACCGCTAAGACCGAAATTATTTCGATTCTAACAATTCTAAATAATGGAAATTACCAACGCTCTTTATTGAGCGGAGATCATTTTGCTGCCGATTTTCGTATAAAGCTGTTCTTTCTTGCAACATACTGTCGCTGTATTAAATTATTAAACATCAGAAATAATAAAAAAAAAAAGAGTGTTTCACCTTAACAGCCAAAATTATTTTATAAATTTTTCAATTTTAACTTATGTGTCAGACTGGATTGTATTGTGCCTACATCGGTTGCTCGATGAATCATTCTCAAAACCCAACCATTGTCAATTCTGGCGCCTTTATGAACGAGTTGCATAATTAGTATGGCGACATCACGCTGCCTATGTCTAGGTGGAATTGGAAAGGGTTATTGAATTATGGTAGTAATGGTGGTGGTAGTGGTGGTGGTGGTAGCAGTAGTAGTGTAAGTGGTAGTAGTTGTAGTAGAAAAAGTATAAGTAGTAGTAGTGGTATTAGTAGAAGTACTGGTAATGTAAGTGGTGGTGGTGGTAGTCAAAGTCGTAGTGGTAGAGGCGGTAGTGGTGGTAAAAATGGTAGTGGTAGTAGTCTTAGTGGTAGTGTTAATGGTAGTGGTGGTGGTAGAAATGGTAGTGGTATCGGTGATGGTAGTGGTAGTTAAAGTGGTAGTGGTAGTAGTAGTAAAAGCAGTAGTAGAAGAAGTAGTGATAATAGTCGTAATGGTTGTAGTCGTAGTGGTGTTCGTCATAGTATTGGTGGTGGTTGTGGTGGTCGTGGTGGTTGTAGTAATGTTGATAACTGTTTCAGTGGCGGTTGCGGACTAGAAGTGGTGGTGGTAGTCGAGGTAAGTGGGTTGAATATACTGGTGGTTAAGTAGTGATTGTGATGGTGGAAGAAGTGGTAGTTGCGGTCGCGACAGTAGCAGTAACAGTAGCAGAACAGTTATAATATTGAGTATGGGCAATATTGTGATCGCTTATAGGACAGAGAATGATATCATAACATTTAATTGCGTTTTGCTGCCATTGAATAGTAAAACGCGAGTTTGGGTTGCGTGTTACAACAAAAACTGATTATATGACCTGCTGTAGAGAGGCAGAACATAGAAAACCGCACAAAACAAAATGCTTTCCATATGGTAGGGTGACAATCAGGGCATAGAAAATGATGAACCTGGACAGTCATTGCAACAATGAATATTATATACAAAAATGTTCATTAGTGTAACCACCGGCGTAAATTGGCAAAAATGATGGCGATCAAAGAAATCCAAGAAGGCCGCAAAGATGGCCGCCATCATGGAAAATTTTCAAGAAATATTCTTTAAGCTATACTTTTTTATGCAAAATTTGAATTTTGACAAATGGTATCAGACCTTTAACATTATTTTAAGGGAACGTGCATAACTTGAAACTTATTTTGCTAGTTTTATGAATCAAGGCAGCGTCAAATTTATGGATAAAGTGAAAAATCATAGAAGATACAATTAAAAAAATGTATAAATTGACACCAATTTTATTTATTTTTTCAATTAAAAGAGATGCTTTACTATGTTTTTTTACATTCTTTTTGAATGAATATTTATCTTATTTCAAAACATATAAAAGGTATTATGAAAGTTCAAACATGTACATGCATATAAGAGTGTAGAAACAAGTAGTAACATTATTTGTTAACTAAGTTCTTTTACGTGTTGTACATAAACATTGATACATTTGTTTATATAAATGTAAAAATTCATCAAAACCAAAACAAAAATCAGTGATTCAATTTGATAAAATTTAAAGGGTTTTTGCTTTTCATGGAATTGCACGGAAGTGTCACATTGAAGGTTCCATGATAACCGCCGTATGACCACATCTGCGGATGTTTCTAAATTCAAAATTTTACTATTTCATGTTTAAATGTTGAATTCTGCTTAAGCTGGTGCTAGAGGGCGCGGACGGTAACTTGCACTTTCCAGTACCGTCCATGAACAGAACGTATATGACACAGTGATTTAAAAAAGATATTGTAATTATTGTAAAACCACAGTCAATGTAACAATATATTTTTTTTCAATTTCACAATGGACAACCATCATCACGATTATCATTTGTCTCAAGATTTGCCAACATAGTAAATGGATAGCCCTTGTAAAACCCCTTTGCAAGACCAGGCTATGGTACATGGCTGTTCATTGCCCAAACATGATCATCACTGCAAAGTTAGAACAAGTATATACATTGTCACTCAAAGTTCAGGTGCAGCTGAAGGTTGTGTCAAAAGCTGTGTATTATACATTCCTAACTATAGGTCTTTTCCTTGATATAACCTCCTTTTTGCAAAGAACACGGGATGATCAAAGAACATTAAGGGAGGTGCAATGATGTCTATACAAGAGACCAACACACTTAAATGCAGCAGTGTCAGCATGAATTGGAAGTACCAGATCTTTCCCTAGGTCAGTAAGATTTTTAAGATCATGAACAGCCTTACACATTACCTGAAAAGCCTTCCTCTTTCCTATGCTACGAAATGATGAACTGGTATCACAACCTTTAAGATAATACACAGAAAGTATGATACTTCACTGTTGTGAAGGCAGAACACTGAAATTTTTACTGTATGTACTGGAATATATCTTGTCAGGTCTCTGTGCATACCTTTATTACCAGTTAAAGTAAATACTTTCCATATTAAGCTCCGAGAAATGATTTATAAGAAGTACAAATAAATCAGTATAAGAGGACTATAACAACAGCTTGCTGTACACCTAATGAGGAAGCAAAAGAAACATGCAGGATTATCCTGCTATCAGCTTCTTCATGATTTAAATCTCATGTTGGAACATACTCTACACATGAAAGAGGGATTTTGAAAAACTGTTCATCTAATCCTCCTGCTGTATAATTAGTGGTTCTCTCATCAGGACAAGAAACTCATGACAGTTTTCAGCGAGATATCTAGTAAAGAACTGTGTAGGTGCATTTTTGGCCCCCGCCTTTTCGAAGAAATAGGGGAATATAGAAATAGGCTCCGTCCGTCTGACCATCCATCACACTTTCGTGTCCGATCCATAATTTTGTCATTTATCAACGGAATTTGAAATAGCTTGGCACAAATGATTTTTAAAATAAGACGATGTGTCATGCGCAACAACCAGACCCCTACCTCCTACATTCAAGGTCAACATTGTCTATTTGAAGGTATAGTCGTGTCCGGTCCATAACTTTCCTATCTTTGAAGAGATTTTGTCAATACTTGCCACAATTGTTCACAATCATGAGACGATGTGTTATGCACAAAAACCAGTCACCTACCTCCAAGGATACGGTCACACTTAGAGGTAAAAAATTAACGGAGTCTGTTATATAGTTTATTTTGTGTCCCGTTCATAATTTCTTCATAGATCAACGGATTTTAAAAATACTTGGCACTAATAGTCACAATGATAAGATGATATGTCATGCGTAACACCTGTGTCAGGCGCAAACATGGGTCCCTACCTCCCAGGTCACACTTACAGGTCAAAGATTTACATAGTCTGTTATAGGGTACATGTTGTGTCCGATCTATAACTTCTTCATAATTCTAGGGATTTTGAAAATACTTGGCACAAATAGTAACAATAATAAGACGATATGGCATGCACAACACCTGCATTCCTACCTCCTAGGTCATGGTCACACTTAGAGGTCAAAGCTTAACATGATAGATTTTTAAATTGTTTCGTTTTATTTCTTTAAAAAAATTATTGTTGCATTTGCAGATCTGGCATTGATCATAAATTTGGACTGAAAGTCCTGAAATACATACCTCATTTTTTTGAAATAGCACAATTTTATGCTTCATATAAAACTTCCATGAAGCGGGGAACGTTGGTAACTCTGTTACAAATTCTTGTTATTTTTTACTGGATATTTGGCTGAATTACAACTTGCTGGAAAGCGGAAATATTTTCACCTTGATTTATGCGTGTTTGGTTTTAAGGCTACCTAAAATATATCTGTCAATAACTCAGTTATGCGCAGTGCACTTTGACTATGTGACAAAATGTCTACAATTTGCCAGAACGATAAAGCCTACATCTGGTATGTTGGCTTTATCCTTGACTGAAGCTGCAGCAGCTGAACAACGGCCATACTGCAGTTGCATCAAAAATAAAACAGTCGGCTATACTCGAAGCATGTGCATTTAACTCACCATTGTTAAATGTTTTCAGGTTTTCAAGTTTTTCAAGGAAATCAGATTTCCTGGTTGACATCATCTGTGAACAAACTCAAAGGAACGGGGGCATTCCCAAATGATAGAACCCTGTCAAAATAAATGTTCTGTCTTAAATGAATTTATTGCGACAAGTCTTAAATACATCTCTTCACCATCAATAGGGACCGTGTTCTTTGCACTTTACTGACCTCCTTTAAAGGACCCAAAATTTTGTCATAGGATCAAAGAATCTCTTTGTGGGAGGTTTACAATTATCTACAACAAACCACACTTTGGGCGTGGAGCTCAAAATGCGTTAAAATAAAAAAAAGTATAATTGTCAATCCTAGCACATATACTTGTCATATGTATCTATAAAACTTAAGCTGTTTTGAACAAAATTCATATTTAAACGACTATAATTATAGACGTTAAATATGATTTTCTTTTTCAAAACAGCTTTAATTACGTTTTATTGATACATATGACAAGAATATACGCTGGGATCGACAACTATACAATTTGTTTCAATTTTAACGCATTTTGAGCTCAACACTCAAAGCTTCTGTGCAACAAAACTGTCCCACACAAAAACTAACAATATTTTCTTGGCCTGTTTTTAGACAATTTAGTAGGTTCCTTTCAACATCTAATGGAAGTTCAACACCATTTGCAATGTTTAAAAGTTGAAAAGGTGGATAAAGGTAAAGAAAATGGATCGATAAAGGTGTCACTTTTGAATACACTCAACATCTGTTTGACTGTGTATGGAAAGATGGCCCTGCAAGAAACCAGTGAAAAAGAGCACAGCTATTATGGGTTAGACCTATAATGCTTCCAGAGGATTCCAGTGCTTTATTTTCCGTGACTTCAATGATATAGTGAAACTATACAGAATAAAAACAACGAGTACTTAGTTTAGCAACAAACTTGGCTTCTAAACTCAACTGTAAATCTGTAATTCTCTAACAGCAAATAGGCCTGAATCTTGAATATATTATTCTAACGAAAGAAAACAAGAAGGGCAAAAGTATTGATGTTTCATACTGATTTGCTTGACAAAACCCATGCATGTTAAATTGGTAAAGAAACCAGTGACAAATAATCTAAGACAGTGATTAAACTACTCCTTACATAAACAGTTTATTCAGAACATGTAAAATATTATTTTCCAAATTTGCTAATAATAATTACTTGGTTACCCATAATGAAATGATAGGTTCTTTTTTACAAATAAAAGACTATATCATACGTTTAGTTTACACATGCAATAAAACTGCTAAAATATAGAAAAGAGGTGAAGATAGACAAGAGTTGATAAACTTAACTTTTCTATTCATAAATTATGCATTCGCATTCTAAAATGACCCAAAAGAATTCATATCTTTGAAAATTAAATAAACTTTTCTTTATTTAACTGGAAAAAATATTTGCCATGAAAATACCACCGTGCGTTTTTTTGTATTATATCAT